TGGAGACAGGAATATATTGACAGCCAGGAGATGGCAGCACTTCACAGATTCCAGGTTACTAAACTGAAAAGACAGAGAACACAAAACACTTTGATGAGCAATTGTGAATTGCTAGCAGACAAAAAACACTCTAGGGGGAATTTATCAAAAATAGAGCAGACAAAATCTAGAGCAGTTGTGCATGGTAACCAACCAGCTCCTCTCTTCAGTTTGTTCAGTTAAGATTTGAAAATGAAAGGGAGAGGCTGATTGGTTGCCGTGTATAGCTGCTCCAGATTTTGTCTGCTCCAGTTTTGATAAATTCCCCTCGATATTATTGCATTATGATATTAGTGTATGTATATGATTGAATATAGTGACACTCCAAGGACTTTACATAACAACGTTTACATGAATGCTGAGGGGCTCATTCATTGGAGAACAGTTCCCATTAAATTGGGGCACCAGACCAGGGATGTGTGGTCAGGGGAGGCAGGTGAGACAGAGCCTCAACTAGAATTATGGAGGAAAAAGCTGTCAGCTTTTTCTCCATTCAGATTGGCATCTAACAGGTTACACAGCAGGGAAATCCTCCCCGCTGTGTAACCTGTCACGGAGCCTCAGCGATGAGGAGCAAGTGAGGGACAGGGATGCTCCTGACTGTCTCCTCCCTTCCTCCTTTACACTAGCTTGGGGACGGGTTGGGGCAGGGCTTTGTCCGACGGGGGCGGAGCTTCGGCCGACCGGAGGTGGAGCTTTGGTCGGCGGGGGGGAGGGGCTGGGCAATGCCTCACCCCGAGCAAGAGGTACCGCACGTCACTGCACCAGACAGACAACTAAATACACAACTGGAATATATAATGGGCTGGCACTACAAGTGTCAGCAGTCCCTGTCAATTATATGAAACTCCTGTGTCTGAGGGCACATTAAATTGACAGAGACTGCTGACACTTGTAGTGCCCTCACACACAGAATGCCAGAACTGTTATATAATGATGATATGACTGTCCTGTGTTTAAAGGCACTCCAAGTGTCAGCAGTCACTGTCAATTTTGTCAATGTCAGGTTTACTCTGCTCTATCTAGCAAAGTAAACCTTTCACTGCTGTTGTAATACATAAATTAGGAACCATCACACAAACTGGGACACCACCCCTATATATGCAATATATATCAAAAAAAGGGGGAAAGAGAAAGAAAGGGGCTTTGTGGTGACCACTGGAGAATAGCAGGGAATTGATCCAATAATAAAGTCAATTGATTCATATATATAATAAAATTCCATTTTTAATATACTCAATTCATAATGTCTATACATATAAATATGCTAAAATTCATCCATATAAAAAACCATAAATAGATGTATACACCATAAATAACCTCCCTGGAACCCACACAGAAACCATGATTATAAATTCATATATTGGTCATTGCCCTCATTGTATTCATATCTTATTTGCATGATTAATTGTACATAATTGTTCTATATATCATTAGTTCAGCCATGATTCTGTGCTTGCTCCAGTCTTCAGCGCGTTTCGCCGAGGCTTCGTCAGGAGGATTTGGAGAGGTTAACTTAATTATTCTTTTTCCGGTAATTGAATATCCATCTGCAGGGAGTCTCCCCACCCAACCAGGAGACAGGAGCGCCGGGGGGAGGCAGTCCGAAAGCAAGGAAGCCAAGCATCCGTCCCAATCGTACCTTGTACTGGTGAAGCTCCTCAGACTGTCAGGGGCAATTCCTTCTCTCAGAACCTCCAACTGTCCCCCCTCCATGCTCCCACTATGCAACCCCCATGTCGTCCCATTGACGGCATCTAACGTGGGCAGATAGGCTGCTGTCTGTTTTTTTTTATTCTGATATTAGAGCCACCGGCTGCCGTCAGAGTAAAAAAAAAAAAAAAAGACAGCATAGAAATGAACAGTTAGAGTGCTATTGGCTATTTGAGTTTGCAGTAGCCAATAGCAGACTAGCTATTGCACTCACCCACTGCTGCTGTCAATCAGCAGAAGTGGACCTGGAGTTCTCTATCAGGTCCTCCTCTGCTGATTGACAGCAGCAGAGGGTGGGTGCAGTAGGCAGCTTGCTATTGGCTACTGCAAATTGAAATATCCAATAGCAATCTAGCTATTAATTTCTATGCTGTCTTTTTTTTTATTATTATGATGACATTATGAAGACCAGGAGATAGCAAGGGAAGCATAGCATAGGGGGGCAGAGTGCACCTCCCTGAAATGAGAAGGGCACCTCCCTGAAATTACTTTTTTGAGGTTGGGGTCCCTGCAGTTGGAGTTTTGTTAGTAAATAGGGTTGATCTATGTTCACTTCATGTGCAAAAAAGGATTCCTGCTTGCATGTGATTGGATGATTGATGTAAATATAGCTTCACCTTATTCACTAAGTGAACGTACACTTTCCAAAGTTAGACCTCAGTGAGGGGAATTTGCATGGCAACCAAGCTGCTATAGGGCTGGAATTGTCCTATTTTGTCTGCCCGTCACTTTAAACAGCTTCCTGGATTCCTAGTGTGCTTTGCATCTCTTTCCCAGCTGCTTAAATTGATGCAATCTTGATTTCTCAAGACTACATATCCCATCATGCATTGCTTAGAGCCAACCATGATAATGTTACATTTTTCAGACATTGGGTTGTGGTTCAGAATGCAAGCTCTGTGAGAGGTGTGACACAAGGAAGTGCATATTCACAGGGCAGAGTGAAATTGTGTCAGTGCATTGAGGAAGTACATCCTATAGGCATCTTTAATAAGTAAGTTTACAAACTTCTAGAAAGATAGAACTTATTAATATAGAAATGCAGATTTATTTGTAGTTTTTCACCATAAAAACCCTTTCATTCTTTTTACTTAACAATCAGCTTTGTTACACGAGGATGAGGCACTCCGTCTTGTTTGTTTTCAAGGTTACAGACTTCCCCATCGTTGATGTGAGCCTCTGCTCCCTAGTGACTTTGGATTTTTGACATACTGGGAGGAATTTATCAAATCTGGAGCAGACAAAATCTGGAGCGGATTTGCACTGCAGCTAATCAGCTTCTCTCTCTCATTTTCAAATCTCTTCTGAGCAAACTGAAGAGAGATGCTGATTGGTTGCCATGGGCAACTGCTCCAGATTGTGTTTGCTCCAGTTTTGATAAATCCCCCCAATTGTATGTGTGAAGATTTGTTTATGTGAAGAGCTCTGGATTTATGATTGTTGGTATACTATTTAACCACCTCCCATCCATTGGCCGTTCCTAAACGGCTGGACGGTAGACTTATAGGAGCGGGTGGGTGTCTTAAAATATCCTTCCCCGCCTCCACTCATCCCAGCGCGCACATGAGTGGGGAAACAGTCAGAAATGTAAACAGCCAGCGATGGCGCTAAAGGGAGGTTTTGTGAGTTTTCCATTTGCGTTTCAGCGCTGAAATGCAATTAAAAACGCCCAAAACCGCACTGATCAGCACGGTTCAATTGAAAGCTGTATGGAAACCGCACTGATTAGCGTGGCAAAAATAGTGCAGGGAGCAGTTCGGATCACGTGGACCTGCGCGGTCGCATGATTGGTCCCCAAGGCAATGTATGGGATCGTTCATGTCGGCGGATCCGTGCAGCCGAATCCGCGCAGCTGAACCGCCCCGGTGTCAACGGGGTCTCAAGCTTCAAATGACAAATAGCACCTCGCGCCAAACCCTGTGTAGCTGCAAGCACTCTAAGAAGTGTTACCCTCTGAATATATCAAATTATAATGAATGTGCTGCGCTTCATCTAGAACAATACATAAACAAATCTCTATAATAAATATGTGCTTAAACAATACATGCAATCAAAAAAGTGTTCACAATGAATCTTCTTGTAAATAATAGTCCTCTGGAAAGTTCAATTTATATATTCCGTGTTCAAATATACACAAATGTGGAATCACACGTATATAGTGCTCAAGATATGTCCCAAGTGCACTACACTCTTTATCCTTCCACTGTGAAAGTTCTTTGTATAAAGTCCAAGGGGTCTCAAGCTTCACCGCTGATACTGGACTTAAGCAGGCACCTTCCATGCACAATGGAAGACACAACGGGAATAGAATCTTCCCGCCACTGACACGTGACAAAGTCACAAAGTCATTTAAAATGACAGTCATCCTATTTTTAAAAAAAAATGTAATGTAAAAATGTTAAGCGGTCAAACCCACGGAGGAGGGGAAGCATGAACGTGTCCCCCCTGCCTCATGTCCATGTTGCTGAATACAGACAGGGACAGGAGAAAGAATCTGCAGGAGCCAGAATCACGGATGCAATGCTGTACTGACCCCAATACAAAAACATAATAAAAACGCAGTCGGGGGGAATTGATCAAAACTGGGCCAGACAGAATCTGCCCATGGCAACCCACCAGCTTCTCTCTTTCATTTTCAAATCTTAACTTAACATACTGAAGAGATGCTGATGGGTTGCCATGGACAACTGCTCCAGATTTCTGTCTGCAGCAGTTTTGATCAATTCCCCTCCATTTTTTCTTTTATGAAAACATGCGCGTTTATTATTTTTTGTCAAATAGTGGACTTTACCTTTAAAACAGGGGTTGGCAACTACGGCCCTCCCGCTGTTGTGGAACTACAAGTCCCACTAGGCGAGAGAAGACTCTGACAGCCACAGTCATGGCTCCCAGAGGCAGATGCATTATGGGATTTGTAGTTTCACCACAACTGGAGTTGCCCACCCCTGCTTTAAAGGGATAACAATTGAGAAATATGTATTTGTTTGTTTTTGTTTTGCTTTGACATATGCTTTTCTCATGATGTTATTGTTATTATTTTGTAAAGGGGGCATTTTAAAAAAGCACATCCTTTCCGCCGGTCAGCACAGCATCACTGTCTGCCATCCAAAATCCCCATGACGTGTTGTTCTCATTAAAAGCTAGCTTTGTGTGCTGAGGGGAGACTATGATAAGGCCTCCTTCTTGCTGTCAGTGACAGTGGGAATTTCCAGTCAGGAAGTGAGAAGAACAGTTAGTAGAAGCACACAAGCCTCACACACACACCTCCAGCCTGGGAGGAGGGAGGTGGACCTCTGTGCTGTGATGAGCTCACCCGAAAAACCCGCCCAGAAGCCAGAGAAAACAAGGAAACTGAAAGAGGAACAGCCAAGGCAAGGGGCTGCTGGGCTGCTGCACTCATGGAGCCTTAGAATGAAGTGCTGACAACTTCTACCATACAAAAGGGACCCATCACCATCTCTGCTGCATCGCTGATCACTATCATCAAGGATCGCACGATCCAAGAAGAGGAAGACGCAGAAGACGAGAAGGTAAACCCACAATCAACACGTTGGCTGCCAGGGGTGCCCAAGCAGAAGTGCCTGGGGTAGACATACAAAGAGCACATGTGACAGCATGCGACTGCTGACAGCCACCGTACAGGAAACATAGATCGTATAGCTTGTATCAGTGATCGCAAGCATGCCATTCATCATCAAACAATGCGACTCATGCGGTATTAGAATTATTATTATACAGGATTTATATAGCGCCAACAGTTTGCGCAGCGCTTTACAAAATAAAGGGGAACAGTACAGTTACAATAGAATTTAATACAGGACGTTAAGGTGGACCCTGCTCATTGGAGCTTATCAATCAAAAATACAATCTATTAGAAATGATCTATTGAAAATGATCATTTAATCGATCTTTATCAATTGAAATTTCAAACCATGCAACACATGCGATAGTATATTTACTATACAGGATTTCTATAGCTCCAACAGTTTGCGCAGCGCTTTACAAAATAAGGGGAGACAGTACAGTTACAATACAATTTCAGTACAAGAGGATTAGAAGAACTCTGCTTGTGAGAGCTTATTGATTGAAAATGTGATCTATTGGAAATGATCTGTTGTATATGATCATTTAATCGACCTTCTGAAATATCTAACAATGCAACACATGCAATATTATATTTATTATTATGCAGGATTTATATATCGCCAACAGTTTGCCAGCACTTTCCAATACAAAGAAACACAGTACAGTTACAATACAATTCAAGACAGGAGGGTTAGGGGAACTCTGCTTGTGAGAGGTTATTGATTGAAAATTAGAAATGATGAAAACGATGATGTAATCCATCTTCATCGGCGATGCCGGTGATCAGGGTGCCTAAATGTCATATAAACTCCTGCTGAACAGCTGTGATGGCACAGAATTCTAATTTCATATACATATCACTCTGTGATCGATCCAGGTAGCAGCGATCGCACACAACCAATTTATCATTGAACAATGCAACACTTGCTGTATTGTATTTTATATTAGTATTCAGGATCGATATAGTGCTAACAGTTTGTGCAGAGCTTTCGAATATTAAGGGAGGTGGTACAGTTACAATACAATTCAAGACAAGAGGGTTAGGGGAATCTATTGGAAATGATCATTCATTCAATCTGTACTGCGATCGGTTGTCTGACGCACAGGCAGATGTTCGTTTGATTGATCGATACGTGCGTGGTTACCTTTACTGTTTTGACCTCAGTTTAGCCTTTGCATACACTAATTGGCAGCACTGGGACTGCCGATAGGCTTGCAGAACACAGTAGCCTTGTCTCAGGTTGGAGTGGTGCTGAACAGAAGCTTGCTTGTTCTTTCTCTTTATTTCGTAGGGCTGATGTATGAAAACTGGGACACAAGTAGAATTGTTGGCTGTTGGCGACTTTTCTTTTTGTGGGAAAGTGAAATCATTATTCTAAATTTGTTGCCACCAGTGAGAGCTCTAGATTTGTTCTAGTTTCCAGAAATCACCACCTTTCTGCCAACTACTCCATTTCTTCAGTCGTTTATGCACCTGCTTAAAGCTTGCTGCGGGTTTTTTTTTTTTCTGCCAGCAGGTTTATTCTCAAATTATAACACAACAATAAAAAAATCAAAACAGTCAGCACACAGAAATATGTTCCAGGCATCTTACAATGTTGTTTTGTTTAATGAATTAATCAAAAAGTAAATGTATACAAAGCTAAAACTTATTTTTTTCATTTTTGGATTTGGTGGGGAATGGTTAATACCCCTGTCAGGGTTTTTATTTGTTGTATGTTTTCCCTTCACTTGTCTCAGAGACGCAGCAGGACTTATGTAAGAGGAGATCTTTACAAAACGTGGGGATATCCCATCTTAGACAGCTGTCATCAGAACAGCTTTCCCCATTGGGAGATTTCTCACCTTCTGGCAACTCAAACATGTTTAAGGCCGTGACACACTGCACGCGAAGCAGCGCGGAGCGGTGGCGCGCTGCCTTTGCGAGCAGTGTGTCATGTAATTTTCTGCTCGGCAGCTCAGCTTGCGAGAGCTCGCGGAGCTGAGCGTGCCGAGATGAACAATTTCAACTTCAGCCAATCGGCTCGCGCGTATAAACCGGCGCGACAGGATGCGACGTCTGGCCGTTGTTACAGACGAGCCGATTGGCTGAAGGTGCAGTCAATCATCTGACTGCACTCAGCTCACACACTGCACGTGATGCTCCGTGCCGGAGAGCTTTGCTTCGCTCTGCACGGCTTCGCGTGCAGTGTGTCACAGCCTTTAGAGTTTCCATTAGTTTCTGTACAGGGGACAAGTGTCACCAGGATCAATAAAGAATGTGAAGCACTCCAATGAGGACACAGACAGCACTAAAAACTGGACAGGGGTTCCAACCCTTCCATATTCTATACAGATTAACTAAACAAAACTAAAAAAAAGATTTGGCTTTACATACACTTTAAGCAATTTGGCCACTGTCATGTGATTTGTGCCTAGGCATGGTGGTCTGCCAGTGCAGTGCTTTATGGGGTGCTGATGTCAGCAGCACCTTTGTTTGGATTCTACCTAAAGTTTGTGCTGATATCAGTACCCTGCAATGCATTGCCATGGCAGACAAAATGACGTGCTGAGGAATACATCACAGGATATGTAGCGTCTCAGGATTGATCATAAGAAAGCAGTAGTGAAACCCATTTCTACTTTGTGTGCTGATTGTCTGATTGTTCCTTTAGCCTAGACTAATTTTTTGAGTATAGGTCTGCTTTAAGGTCTTATTCACACTAACATGGGCAAACCTCCATTTGTAGGACATTTCTAAATGCATATAAATGCATGCAGATGGTATAATCCACATTGTATGGAATCGCAGGTGTCCCCGTACAGATGCAGCCGCTGTACACATTCAAGTAAATGACAGGATGACAGCGGCCGCATCTGTCAGTGGCTGTCCGCATGTAACCGTACATGTAATGGTAGGTTCTTGCCACAGGAATCCCACAATGCCCTGTGTGAATGCAGCCTTGGAATCTCTGAATGCATCTAAATGCACACAAACGCACGTAAACACATATGGGTTTAAGGAAAGCGCATCTAACATCTAAACACAGGAGAACTTGATCTAGGAAGAATATCGTTTCTTTATACTTCCCAGGTAAATAAGGAGCCTGAGGGCCCATTCACACCATCTCAGTGCATTGATCGCACGGTTCTGTGCGATTAACACATGGTACCGCACATCCCGCGTGATTACAGTTCGCCCACACGCACCTCCCTCCCGCAGTGCGATCGGCGGTACTGCAAATACCTTGCGGTGGGGTTTACCATAGTAATGAATGGGGATGTGTTTTTGGACCAGACAAAAAACATTCTAGTCTGGATCTGGTCGGGACATGGTACGAATGGGCCCTAAAACTTTAATCTCTCCCTTAAGCTGAGATCAAGTACATTTAATGATTCAGTCAGGGTGAGAGGCAAAACCAGCTTTTTCTACAAAGCTTTTTTTCACCATTTATTTTTGGCCCTGGTGAGTTGAGAAATTAGCTTAGCAATATGTCTTCTATAAGAACGGCCCATCTGTATTTGTGCAATGCACTGTGTTAACGTGCGTTATGTCACGTGTTCGTGTGTATTGCATTAAGGCAACCCATTGATATCAAGATGTTTGCTGCAATGCATTACGGTACATCACAATGTGTTGCATTAGTGCATTGGGGGGCTATTTAAAATGAACGGCACCAAAAAGTGTCAATGCAAAGTGTTTACGTTGACATGCATGTAACATGCATTGCCACATGTTATGGTAAGGCTTGTGTAAATGCGTTTGTTCCTGCAACGCATATATGTAAATTGGGCCCCAAAATGATTCTGGCTTCTGACATTGGCCCTAGTGGCAGGGTAGCTTCTATCCTTTTAATTTAACTGGTAATGGTAATGAAGTACATTGTTTAATGCAGTCTTGAAGGGTTTCTAAACCCTCGTGGTTTTTTGCATATAGCTACTGCTAGCAAGCAGTAGCTATATGCAAAAATGTTTTTTTTAAATATGCTTTAAAAGCGGTTTAAACTCACCTGTGTCTTCGCCGCGCGCTCCCGTCCGAAAATCTGCATGCGCAGTTCAGATTTTCAGCCGGGAGACGAGGAGAGACACAAGGTAAGTCTATTGATGCGTGCACCCGCATACAGACACCGTGGGACAGGAAGTGCCAGCAAGGACAGAGGAGTCAGCGCTGGATCAGAGACCCGCAGCAGTGCTGGAGAGAAGGCTGAAAACTACAGGAAAGAAGAAGAAGATCGGATTAAGAGACATCATTTAAGGTAAGTGCTTTCATTAACATTGTGGGAGGGAAAAAATGTTTGCCTTTAATGTCACTTTAAATGATGTATTAATGATGTCATCAGTATCTAAGTAAAACAACCTATATATACTGTATATATTTTTGTTTTTGTTACTTATGTTTTTGCAAACAAAAGCTCTGCACTGTGACACAGAGCATTGACAACACTATAATAAGCACGCCTCATGAATGCGGTATTTTTATTTTTTGGGAGGGGGGTTATCATTCAAGAGTTGTGTAGTAAGCAGCGGTAATATAAGAGTGAAAGTAGCTACACAAAACAGGATTGTAAAAAAAAAAATATAGCTTGCCGACTGCTGAGTGGTGTAAAATGGGTATTTACACAGGAACTTGTAATTGAGAAAGTCAACAAAAAACTGACTAAAATCTATCATTTAAAGTGAACTTGTGGCCAGGCTCCAGACATTATTTCCATGTTCTTAAGAAGCAGTCAATGAGTTTTAAAACAAGTCCTCACTCTCCTTTGTACTTCAGGACAGTGTTAACCTACTAGTCCAAAGTCTTCTCACGGCCAAAACGACTTGAACAATTTCAGTGCTTGTTCTGTCAATATTGAGGATGAATTTTCTTCACAGTGTCTGCAGCTAATGGAGGGCAGTGAGGCCTTTAAAGCTCATTGACTGATTTTTAAATAATAAGTTCCCCCGAGCCAGTGGCGGACCTAAGGAACAAAG